TGTTCAAATCTAAAGTTAAATTTAAAGTTAGTTAGAATAAATATTTAATGAAATACTTTCCCGACTATTTTAGCGGTTGAACATGCATGCATACAACATGAATTCAGGATTTATTTTCATTCACAACTCAGAGTTGCCGCCTCCAGTGCCAGTAAGATTCTTGTGACTTGTGTGAGTGTGATATCTCCAGGCCCTATCTCAACTATCTGGTCCCATTTCACTTTGATTACCCTGTCAAACAAGTCAGCCTTCGCCCCTGTAGGTTTGATATCTTAGCTCGCCGCGTATCAAACGTATAGATCTCGATGTAGATCTAGGCTCAAATTTATAAGAGGGTGGGAACTACCGAAAAAGCACCAATTTTTTTTCCCATATATGTAGATCTCTAGACTAGATCTAGATCCTGTAGTTTCTAAAAATGAAGTGTATACAGACCCGGTAACCGGGAACAAAGTCACGAAGTATACAGAGCCGGTAGGGGAACTCTTTTGTGATTTCTGAAAGTTTCAATTTTAGAGCCCGGACCTGGTAGTGTTGGTGGATGTGTGTGTGTGTGTGTGTGAGAGAGAGAGAGAGCAGGGGGAAGTGCTAGCAAAATGTATATGACATGCCCAGTTGGCAGGAGGGAACGAGAGAAAGATAGAGACAGAGTGGGAAATAGGTGGGGAGAAAGAAAGACAGAGATAAACAAAGAAAAAGAGAAGGCGAGTGATACACAGAGGAGAGAGAGAGAGAGAGAGAGAGAGAGGCAGAGAAATAGAGAGGGTGACTGCTCGATTGAAATTATGACATTGTTCTTTTCTTCAAATTGTGATTCCTCCAACTCCAAAACAAAGGAAAGACGATCGTTCATCGAAAAGACATCCGCAATCTTCATTTAGCTAGATCTAGATCTAGGTTAGTCTCGAAACTAGATCAATGATTTATCAATGTCTGTCTCTCTAGATCTAAACCTAGGCCATAGATCTAGAACTAGAAGAACCTAGGTCTACCCTGGGCCCTGGGCCAAGAGGGCGCTGAAACTTTCCGAAATCGCAGAAGAGTTCCCCTACCGGGTCTGTATACTTCGTGACTTTGTTCCCGGTTACCGGGTCTGTATATATACACTCCCAGTATCCCTTCTAAAAATATGTTATAGAGTTTAGATCCAAATCTAGACTAGATTCTACATCTTGTTGAGAGTGGTAAAGGTAAAGTTGAAAAGTACCAAAAATTAAGCCAGCCCAGTCTGAGTGGCGGCAGGGAGCCGGCCC